GGGGGCTCAAATAAGTGTAGTCAAGTGCATCCTTTTTTGTGAACTGAAACATAAGCAGAAATGTATTCTAGAGTATTTCGAACTCTATACTTTAAGTGTATGAAAACTTCCGGAAAGTACCCTAAAAAGTGTACTTTTAGTACACTTTTAGTATACATTTGTCCACTTAAACTAAACATTTATTTCACATTTCTTTACAATTTGTGAAAAAAATGTAAACTTTAGAGGTGGACTTTTCCAAAACAATGAGTAAAGTACGACTTGAAAAAAAGGTTCACATTAAATAGAGTACAACGTAAAATAAAAGTGGAATACTGCGATGTACTTAAAAGTTAACATTCTTCCGCCCGGGAAAAATTAGTTCTTGCAAAAAAAGAAATCGTTTGGAGTATTTTGATGACTTGTTTCTATAGAGAATAGTTTTTTTCTGTTTATATAAGTCAAACTTTTATCATTAGATTTACTGTCTTGGTGAATTTGGAAGAGTATATACAAACCAAGGAACAAATATAAAAAAAAATATATTTGGGTGATTTTGGTTGAATGATGTGCAGTCCAAGTTAATGTAGCATACTGACAGCTAAATTGGCTTCTTTGAGTCCCAAACTGATACAGATATATGCTGTTGGAATTGAGCTGCACATTCTTTTACCTATCAATTTCCTTTTTACAATTGTTTCCTCATTCTTTGGAACGAGCTCAATGAAGCTTCATCATTCCTCGGCAGTTATTGCTAACAATCTATTCATTTCTGAATGTTGACACCACCTCAAATTTATTTCTTCTTTATATTTCTTGTTTTAGGTACCTTATGACATATCTGTCCTGAATGCTAGCCATGCAGGTAAAAAAGTTAGCTTCTATTAGGTCAAAAAGAAGGTGTGAAATAACTGATCAAAAAGTTATGATGCGGAAAATATACGAGCATTATACTGCCGACAAAGAAAGCCCAACAAAATAGTAAGTTCAATGGACATAATTGCAGAACGGCGTGCTTAAGGAACCTTGCCTATTTGAAAAATATCAATGTCTGTCTTTCTTTGTCTTTTAGTTACGCTGGTTCTGACGTGAAAGTAGCTATTGCAAAAGGCATTGTGACAGACTTTCCAGATTTAGCCGATAAAACTGATACCCCTTGGGTAAAATAAGATTTCATCTCGTTCTTCCATTACATAGCTCTTCCTTTTTTAACACTCCTTGTATTTTTGTTGACAGTTATCCTGGCTGGAAGTCGTAATGACCAAATTTGAAACTGTACAAGGCAAACTGGAACCCCACCAAAAGAAAAACAAAGTAACAGCAAAATCAAACTCTGGTGCTGTGGTGTGCAGTCGCGATAAAACTACTACCTCTGCACAATCTTCCTCCTTAAGTGCCTCATACCACACCAATCAGAGTGCACAAGAGGATGATGATATCAATAATCAGGTCTGCTGTATACTAGATAATGTTGAGTAAGAGCTTTCATTAGCATTTCAAATGTCCAATTTCCTATCTTGCAGGTGGAATTAATGGGTCAGATGCTGCCAAGTAATGTGAATAAGCAAATGATCAGTTTGGCCCTTTCTCAAACTTTCCGTCATCGAAGGAATTGGTACTGAAACCCTTCTGCAACAGAAATTATTTTGCGCTATAAACATTTGAAGAGCTTTCAAGGTGAGATGGTATGATTTTTTATCTACTATCCAATGTTGTTAATTGTTAGACCCTCAGACAAAGAAATTGTCATCTCTCATTCATCATGTTGTGTCTGATGTAACCAGAGTCATTTTGTTTCAGATATCCGAGGAATTTAGACGAATTCATCAGCTGCATGATGATGCAGTGGAGAAGTTCAAACGCGCTGTACCATTTATCCTCAAATATTCAGAGACTGTGAAACCTCAATTGTTTGAAGAAGTTTCCAACAAGTTCAGCAATGGTATTTATGCCCTCATTTATACTCCTACATTTTGTTCATTCTCAATATTATACTTTATCCACTGTGGATTTTCTTTCTGCTTTTGTTTCAGATAATCCTAAAGCATTAGTTCTTCTCACAAAAATTTTAACTGTGACCCTTAATAATAACACCGCCTTGCCAGAAGAAAGAGAGCATGTAAAAAATTTCAAATCTTCTATTGATTCCTTGCCCAGTAGTGTACTATTTCAAGATGTACCAGTGAGCGTTTAAATCTAAGGACAGTAGAAGGAGCTTATATGGACCATGCATGGTAATTTTGACTGCCGTAATGTGGCTGCTGGAGCACATATTATCGTCTAAGAATAGTGACCATCACAATCAACACATCTTGGGCCAATTTAATGGCTGCTCATGGTTTCAATGCGCTTCAAGCAGCAGCCAAAAGCAGGTGGTCTTACCATGCATGGTCCATACTAGGCCGTTTGCTGATATTCTGATAGGTTTAATTACTCTTAAACCAAGGGGAAATAGGCTTGAACTTCAGAGTACGTTTTCTTGAACTTCGGTGAACTTAGGCAAACTTCGGTGAACTTTTGTAAACTTCGGTGAACTTTGCTAAACTTCTAGAAATTTTCTCGAACATCAAACTGATCAAGAGCTATGAAAGCAAATTTCTCGCTCCGTAACCTTTGTAATTCGATCCGTAAATATCTGCTTTGAGTAAGCTCGAATCTCGGTTGTAGTATGCACTCAATATCACTAATTTCAGCCTTAAACATGTACCAATTTATTTTGAACTTTAGTGAACTTTTACGATTTCTTTTGAACTTTGCAACTTTAGAGAACTTTGACATTTATTTTGAACTTCGAGGAACTTTGACGTTTGATTTTGAACCTCGGTGAACTCCGTGAACTTCGGTGAATGTCAGTGAACCTCGATCGAATTTTACAAAGCGAACTTCAGTGAACTTCGACTTCGGGTGTTTAATTTTTTGGAGCCTATTTCCCCTGTCTTAAACAAAACACTCAGCTTAAATTCCTCTGATTAAACAGGATAAAAGTGATGTTGAGTCCTATGTCTCGGTGGTGGTACATCCAGTTACTCCCATTTTTCCGTATCTTCTTTAGTGTACTCGAAACTTACAGTCAGGGATGATCTATTTGCAGATAGATAAACAATGTCTGTTTCTTGGATGTTATGAAAATGAGGATAGCATTTTAAGAGCATTTGACATTTTTGTCAAAGCTCATCATGTTTTCATGCTGAGATATAATCCTTATCTGAGGACAACTGCATTCGATTACTTTAAGACTCTCTTTGGCATCAAAATCCCTCTAAATTCTATTACTCGATTTATGACAGCCCTCACAAATGTAGCCATGTAGCAGCTGTGCCTTTTTTTTCTTTTTAAAGGAAAGATCTAATTTAAATTACCCTTTTTCATTTCTTTTGTCCTCTGGAATGTTCGCCAATTTATTTTCTAAGATTCTTTTTCCTTGTGTATAGTAGTCTTTTACTAAAGCCTTTTATTTTAATGTCTCTGAACTTAAGTTTTGAGAATCGAGGAAGAAATGTTTATACATAATTTTGTAGATAATTTTATTTACTTCGTGTAGAACTATAAATTGTACTTTAAAACTTTATATTCAGTTATACATAATTTATTTACTGTAGTTGTACTCATTTATTGTTAAAGTAAATTGAAACCTTTGTAAAGCTCTCTATTGGTTTTGTAACTATCGTTGCTATTTTTAATTGATAAAAAAAGCATGTGATTTGTATATAAAATGCTTCTACCATTGAAGTAGAAAGAAATTTAACATACTTTCCTTATTGTCGTTCACAATGCATTGCATCATTTTCCATATCGCTCGTCCCTAACTCAAAGCACGCACGGCGCAGCGCCTCTAGAAAAACCAAGTATCTTTGAGCGACGCTCGGGAAACCAAGTATCGTTGCGCGACTCTAGTGAAACCACGTATCTCCATTTTTGGGTGATTTTTGAAACCTATACCATTCGGTAGAGAAAATTTCCATCTATTCAAGTATATAGTTCCTATATATTCTTCAAAAAATGCGTTAGGTGGTTTCACTAGAGTCTCCCAACGATTCTTGGTTTCTCGAGCGCCACGCAACGGTACTTGGTTTCTCTAGAGACGCTGCGCCGTGCGTGCTTTGAGTTAGGGACGAGCGATATGTAACAGGATGGACATTAGTGATTTTATTTTAATGTCTCTGAACTTAAGTTTTGAGAATCAAGAAAGAAATGTTCAGAGATAATTTTGTAGATAATTTTATTTACTTCATTTCCAACTATAAAATGTACTTTACCCAGTGAGAAATGAGTGTTCGAATCGACCTCGAATCGACGTCGACTGTTTGAGAAGTTATCGTTGGTCCTGAAACGAAGTTGTCGACGAAATTTCGATGTTACTCGAGAAGTGCCCTATGACACGGCTTAACTCTGCCAATGTGTCTTAAAATGTTACAGAGCGGTTCCTGGTACTAAATTGCAAGAAATTTCGTATTGTATAAGATCGATGTCGATTCGACGTCGATTCTAGACAGCGTCTTCCCCTGACTGTACCATTAGCTCTCGCTGGTGACCCGCAACGCCAAAACAAGTATAGTCTGGAGACGTGTTCGTTTGAGCGCGGGAAGTGTCCATCACGGACTTCATCTCTTGCAGTAATTTTTGAACGTGATGGCGACGCGGGTGTCTACGGACACCAACAGTCGCTATTGGACTTAGCTCAACTGTTGAAATCCGTCCCTTTAGTCCCCTTTCGATACAGTATCGAAATAGTCGATGTCGAAAAAACGTCGATTTGCGGGACAAAATCCCGTCGATTTGACATTTGGAATCGACAAATTTTCGACCTGCCAAATCGACGTCGATTCGACCACTGATTTCTCACTGGGAAGTACTTACTTACTAACAGTTTTTTAACCTAATATTAGGTTGTACATAGAACTAATTTACTGTTAAGTAAATCGAAACCTTTGTAAAGCTCTCTGCTTTGTCACTGTGGTTGCCCTTATTAATTGATAAAACTAGCTATAGTACGCCAGACCACGTCTCGCGTAACAGGCTTCGCGATATCTCACGAAACACTGTTACGCTGCGACGCGCCTGGCGCACATGTAGCTAGGCCTGCGGCGCTGACACCTGAGACGAGTTAGTTTTTCGACATAAAGCCCCTTTTTAAGGATTTATTAGACTATTTGGCCATTTTCACATCAATTTTGTCAAGAAATGCCCCCTAGCAACTAAACGGTACAAGATAGAGCAAAACGGACGAAACTTTCGCCCATTGGGCTCTACTTTTACGAGTTACCCCTTGGAAGCGCATAAAAAAATATTTTTAAAAAAAGTAAATTTTGCGACCTGTGGTTTTTGATTTTTTAAACCGTCAATTTTTGAGCTAGAATGCTCATCTTCGAACTCAATCTGTCTTTGTATGATACAAAACGACCCTGAAATTCCCAGATCGCTCTCTCAATTCCTTTTCGAGTTATCGTGCGGACAGGCAAACAGACAAACAAACAGAATGAAACTTTTCCGGTCAGTGGAGTAATGGGCTTCGCTAATCGCTCAGCCAAAAAGCATGTGATTTGTAAACTAGCTATATGTACGCCAGACCACGTCTCGCGTAACAGGCTTCGCGATATCTCACGAAACACTGATACCCTGCGACGCGCCTGGCGCACATATAGCTAGGCCTGCGGCGCTGACACCCGAGACGAGTTAACAGAAGTGTACTTACAATTTGTCGATGTTAAGTATACTTTTTCGATTTAATAGACGATTTGGGCATTTTCACCTTCTTTTCGTCAAGAAATGCACCCTAGCATCGAAACGGTACGATAGAGCAAAACGGACGAAATTTTCATTCGTAGGGTTCTTTTTTGACGAGTTATCCCTTAGGAACCCATAAAAAAATATTTGAAAAAAATGAATTTTGCAACCTGCGGTTTTCGATTTTTTAAACAGTCAATTTTTGAGCTAGGATGCTCATCTTCGAACTCGATCTGTCTTTTTGTGATACAAAACGACCATAAAATTCCCAGATCGCTATCTGAATAGGGTGTTCCAGGCAATCTAAAACGGAAGTAGGAAAAGAACAAACTCACTGACCTTTCTGTTTCCGTAAGGGCTCTGATTGGTCGAGCTAATCACGTGCCTCCGCCGCCTTTCAGGTATAAGAAACTGTCAGATCAGTTCCGAGCTCCCCTCCATATTTGAGAGGTTAGGATCGGACCAAACTGCGATGGGAGCTTCTCATACTGGGCAGACGGAAAAAGATTAATCAGTGAGTTTGTTCTTTTTCACTTCCGTTTTAGATATCCTGGAACACCCTATTCATTCTCTAGTTATCGTGCGGACAGACAGACAAACAAACAAACAAACACACAAACAAACAGAATGATACTTTTCGGGTCAGTGGAGTAATGGGCTTCGCTAATCGCTCAGCCAAATAGGCTTCGCTATCGCTCAGCCAACTAGGTAGATGTACGCCAGACCACGTCTCGCGTAACAGGCTTCGCGATATATCACGAAACACTGTTACGCTGCGACGCGCCTGGCATACACCTACCTAGGCCTGCGGCGCTGACACCCGAGTCGGGTAGTGCGAAAATGTACACAACGTTCGGGCCTCTGGCCCGTCAACGGCCCGTCACTTTGACTAAACATGCAGGGTTGTACATTTTTTCGCTTATTTTCGTCAAAAACACCATCTAGCGCCTCAACGGTTTGAGCTAGAGCAAAACGGAGAAAATTTTCGCCCGAAGGGCTCTACTTTGATGAATAGGGTGTTCCAGGCTATCTAGAACGGAAGTGAAAAAGAACAAACTCACCGATTGACCTGTTTCCGCCTGCTCAGTATGAGAAATTACCATGGTAGTTTGGTCTGATTCTAACCTCTCAAATATGGCAGCGAGCTCGAAACTGACCTGACAGTTTTTCATACCTGAAACGCCGTCGTGGCACGTGATCA